GTTTAGGTTGCTAAAAAACATTAGTGGAAACTGGCTATCCCTTAAAATTTATAAATAGATGGAAAGGTCACGGTATACTGAGACCTACTATAACCTTGGCAGGAACAAACCTGTCTACATGATTTTTCCGTTTAGAGGTGATTGAAATAGCTTTTTACTGAAACAAAGGCTTAAATAAGTTGTTAACAGAACGTATTACGCAGCAAAGGTCTTTATGGAGAAGGAAACAAGGTCCATGTCTCAGCGAAAACCCAAAAGTCATGAAAACGATTGCGTCACATGCCACTGTATTTATCAATTTGAATGTGTGTGTGGTCACACATACATGGGGAGGAGTAATCGTGATCTCCAAATTAGAGTGTCCAAACATGTACCTAAGTGGTTGCAAAAACAAATCAAATCAAATGATCCAATAAGAGTAGATGATAAACATCCACCATCCTCTATTGCTAGACACATAGTTGAAACAGGTCATAAGATTGATGTTGACACGGTTTTTGTGGTGTTGTAAGAAAGTGTAAAAGGGTGTATACTAAGGTTTATCGAAGCCTTAGCCATGTGAAAATTCAAACATCCTTTATGTATTCAAAAACGTTTGTTCTCATCTTAAACCTATCCTGGTAATATTAGCTTATTATCCAGCGTGATGAGGCTTCAAGTTGTTTTTCATATTATTTTCTTTATTATCTTTGTCTCCAATCACCCGCAATTTCTAGTCTAGTTGACCCTTTATTTTTCTATACAAATGTTCTTAACAAGTATATATGTGATCAGATTGTTCGGAATGCATTGCGCTAATATATCGCATAGTTTTGATAGTCTTCTTCCTCTTCTTATTTCACTATCCAAATTTATGAAAGGGACTGATTGCTTCGAACATCATGACCATTTTTCTTACTTATAAGGGACTTGATGTTCAGAATTGCCATCTGAAAGATAAATCACACTGCACGGCAGTTTATCAGTTACGCGTAATCTAACAAAAGAGAATCGAATGGAAATCATCTAATTTTCCACGTAAACTGTTATACATAGAATCACTATGAAGATAGCTAGTTGTTTGTAACAGTTCACAAGTAAACAGTGTTGGCCGTTTAAGCACAACCAGGTTTAATGAGGATGCGGATATTGTGTTTACAAAGCTGTTCTGAAACGTTCATGGAGGAAATTCACTGACTAACGTTATTATTCTTAGTAATAATAATAATAATAATAATACCACTACTGCTGCTTAAAGTACTACTGCTATTTCAGTAGTCGATATTTCTTAGAATCTCTGCTCTGAGGTGGTCGACTTCCTGCAATTTATTATTCATGAGAATTCCATGCAATTTACATTCATCCCACAATTAATAAGCAAACGCATTGCAGGGACCACATACAAGTTCGTAAACTATGCTTGTATTCTCATGTGTCTTATGATGGATGACTGAATGTAAAACTTGATCATCCAACTGTATGCGGCTAGATGGTGAGGAGTTTTAAACGGAAACCTTGATGGCGTTGACGGTGAATGTACACTTTACAGAAGTGGGAACCGTGCCACTTTGTATTGTTCACGGCTAACAATACTCAATTACGATCAACTAATTTTTTTATTCAAGTGAGTTATCGACTCGGTTAAACCTATCTGAATGTCAGGACTCCCTACTTCCTCACTACAGTAACACGTACGATACTCCATACACTATCGACCGGTAAAACAATCAAAAACACAAATGTGAATAGTTAGAAAGTTTATTTTCAATTTTCATATGAATATGTACAAAAAATGACTAGAAAGCAATGCATTTGTTTTATTATTTCTCATAATTTTTGCAATCGTTACTGTTATTATTATTATTATTGTTATTGACATTGAAATTGCTTTCTTAGTCTGAAAAATGGACATGACGTCCAGGCTTCTTCATTGATTGGCCTGGATGTTTTAAACACGTTCGAAGTTTGTATGGGTTCATATTATTTTGTGACAAGTTTGTCTTCAATCGTGTGGATTTTTCATGTAAATCTGCATTTTTGTCTTTTGTTCGTTCACCGTAGATAGTAGGTTTCTCTCCAAAATAGTGATAATAGTAATAATTATAACAATTGTAGTAAGAATAATAGTGGAAATGGTAGCAATAATAGTAGTAGTCGTATTGGTAGTATTGGTAGCAGTAGTAGTAGTAGTTGCACCAGTAATAATGATAATAACAAAAATTAAGACAGATTTGTTTGGGATCGGCACGACTGTCCATCGATATGTTTATTTATTTGTGAGCGTTGTACAGTCAAACCGCTCAGCAAATGCGTTTTTACAAACTGATTATCATCGCTCTAGACTGATATTATATAGACTTGACATATGCTTAGACTATTTCCATTCAAATTTTGAATAGAAAAAGTCGATCGAGTCACGTGACTGCAAATCAATAAAGAATGTACATTCTTTTGAACATACGTATGTTCGAAATTGATGTCATTTATGAAAACGATGATAAAAGTAAGGAGTAAAACGACGAAAAATGTTAGTCAGTTAGCCATTTACGTTAGTTATGAAGACTGATTTGGTGAGCATAATCTCATTCTGGAATAAGAATGAAAAACGTAAATTTGGATTAAGCAAATGGCCATGGCAGAGTAGAGGTGGACACTGTACAAACATCTTAGGATAAGAAGGATGATCAGGTTTGTTGATGCACTGCTTTTGGACTCGTCGGAATATGACTGACACTTTCACGAGAACTAAATTTAATATCAACTAGACGGGAATTCGCTCGACCTTGAGACTGCAGTATAGTCGTCCGTAATAAGAATAATAGTAGGTCAGATGACCTGTGTTAATCCTTGGTGTATGCTTCCCAGTGAAGATTCAGTTTTCCTGGTATACTTCTTCATATCTGTGTATGTTTTCTAATTTTGGTTCGAGTGTAGATTGTTGTTGTTGTTGTTGTTGTTGTTACGTTGACCAAGGCACCTCTGGATGCTGTGAGAGTACTTTTGTGGAGTGTTTCTCAACTTGGTGGCATCGGCCACACTGCTTTGACAGTTTCTGTCGAGATGAGAAAGTCCATCTATCAGTACAGTTATCCGCGCGATTTTGAACAAGTGAGTGAAGGCTATTGACCATCTACAGGAATTATAATTCAGAGTAAGTAAGACTAGACGATCATACGAAAAGCAATTGGTTAGGGATTCTAGATATATTCCGAAACGGTTATTCTCGTATATAGAAAGGCGAAATCAGAGAAGTAATGGAATTGCATCACTTTTGATACAAGAAAATCCGTTAATCTTGGCAGAAAATGATACCGAAAAAGCTGGAGCTTTATCGGAATATTTTAGTAGAGTGTTTTCTATCACTAATGAAATACGACCAACGATTCATTATGATCGTAACGGCTCGCGGATGGATCCTGTGGTCATTGAGAAAGGTACTGTTTTAAGGCTACTTCAGCATATCAAACCTGATAAGTCCAGTGGTCGTGATAATATTCATCCTAGGATTATGAAAGCCATATCAGATGTAATTGCTGAACCTTTAGCGATACTGTTTGGCATGTCTCTAAAGCAGTCCAGACTGCCCAGAGACTGGAAAGACGCTATAATAAGTCCGGTGTATAAGGCTGGGAGTAGGGATTTAGTTAGTAACTATAGAGCCGTTAGCTTAACTAGTGCAGTTGTAAAACTGATGGAAAAAATCATTCGGATATCTGTTATAAACTATGTTGAAAGGCATAATCTTTTCTCCAGGGAACAACATGGTTTTCGGAGAGGCCTATCGTGCTTGACAAATCTTCTCATTGCAAGAGAAGACTGGGCTGCTGCAAAAGATCAGAATATTCCTGTAGATGTGATCTTCATAGATCTAAGTAAGGCTTTCGATAAGGTCTCCCATTGTGGTCTTAAATTCAAACTGGAACGCTTCGGAATCCATTATACAGTCGTAGATTGGATAAGTAACTTTCTCCATGACAGGAGACAAAGGGTAAGGGTTAATGGGGCTCTTTCATCGTGGGTACCTGTAAAAAATGGAGTTCCCCAAGGCACAATCCTCGGTCCTCTTCTCTTTTTACTTTATGTAAATGAATTACCAACTGTAGCAAAATCATCCGTTCTACTATTTGCTGATGACATAAAAATTTGGAGACCCATACACAATATGTCGGATAGAATGGTATTACAGAATGATCTTAGCTCACTGGTGGCATGGTTAGACAGGTGGTCACTTGAAGTAAATCCTAATAAGAGTGTGGTGATGCAATTAAATAACAATGATGAATCGTATCACTATACAATACGTGGATTCGTACTACCCAAAGTAAGAAACTATAAAGATTTGGGAGTCATATTAAGTAGTGATCTGAAAACCACTAGTCACTGTAAGGCTGCTGCTGCGAAAGGCTATAGGGTATTATGGTCTGTTCGTAGGTCTTTTCAGTATTTAGATGATGAAATGTTTAGATTACTATACCGTATTTATGTGCGACCACATTTAGAATATGGAATTCAAGCAGCAAGTCCTTGTTTCAAGTATGAAGCAGATATGCTAGAGCGAGTCCAACGACGAGGTACTAAGATGGTACAAGGTCTATCTGGACTATCTTATGAAGACAGGTTGAGACACCTCAACTTATTTCCGTTATCTTACCGTCGAATACGGGGTGATCTAATATTGGCTTATCGTATACTTATCGTATACGATGACCTTGGTATTAACATGTCCTATCTTTCACTTCCGTCTGGGACTGATCGTTTGAGAGGACACTCGAAAAAAATTCAAAAACCGAGATCAAATCGTTTACGTCTGGAGTTTTGTTTCTCTCTTCGAGTAGTGAATTATTGGAATTCTCTACCGGAACACGTAATATCAGCACCTTCTGTTGATATATTCAAGACGAGATTGAACCTCCAGAGTATTACGAACTGCAAGGATTAATACAGGTCAATAGACCTCCTATCGTTATTACTGAAGACTGAAGATTATGAGTAGTCGGATGATAGTGATTGTTGATTGAAATAACCATTCAATTCATAGCGGACATGTGTAACAAGTGAAAGCTAATGAAGTAAGTGATTTTAATTTTATTTCTGTTTTGTGTTTAACTAAATTTAATGATGCAGATAATTGTGAACTTGAGACAGGTAGTTGCAATTTGGACACCGATGATTTCCTCAATAATGATGACTCTGTAGATATATGCTGATTTCAGATAAGAGAAGAAAGCGAGAATGAGAATTTTGAACAATTGAGAGGATGTGACAATTACAACCAAGAGAACATTATAGACACGTGGACAGACAAACAGTCTGTGTCAGTTGTGGTAACCGGACAATATAACTACTGTACAGTTAAATGTCTTGTGTTGTCTTTTAATCTGTCATAATTATCCAATACAGTTTTTGTGTGACTACTTCGAATTGGACTTTTTGATTGGGTGTTGTGGAAGTTCTAGGCTATTTGAGATTGTTGGTAATTCGTTAGATCATTTTGAATCCACAGACAATCATTTTGGTAATGAAAGTGAAATATTTGTTGGATTCTTACTTGACTAATTGACATCCAGTGTCCTGAGTATCGTTATTTACATGGATTACCTAAAATGTTTAGTTATTTTAGTTATCTGTGAAAGAAAGGACGATATGAATTGCTTATTGAGTAGACTTAACACTCTGCAAAACCAGATCAGCCTTTCATGTGAAGAGGAGAAGAATGACCGGCTTTTCTTGTTAGATATACTAGTAAGCAGACGAGAAGGTGGTTCAAGCAAACGATCCATCTTTCGAAAACCAACGTTGACGAGCCAATAGCTTAGTGACAATAGTTACTGCCCAGTGCAATACAAACGAGGTTCGATGAGCGGTCTGTTTAATAAGATTAATCGTGTTTGCACAAACAACACGATTGATGAGATGACGACGTTAGGTTGCTAAAAAACATTAGTGGAAACTGGCTATCCCTTAAAATTTATAAATAGATGGAAAGGTCACGGTATACTGAGACCTACTATAACCTTGGCAGGAACAAACCTGTCTACATGATTTTTCCGTTTAGAGGTGATTGAAATAGCTTTTTACTGAAACAAAGGCTTAAATAAGTTGTTAACAGAACGTATTACGCAGCTAAGGTCTTTATGGAGAAGGAAACAAGGTCCATGTCTCAGCGAAAACCCAAAAGTCATGAAAACGATTGCGTCACATGCCACAGTATTTATCAATTTGAATGTGTGTGTGGTCACACATACATGGGGAGGAGTAATCGTGATCTCCAAATTAGAGTGTCCAAACATGTACCTAAGTGGTTGCAAAAACAAATCAAATCAAATGATCCAATAAGAGTAGATGATAAACATCCATCATCCTCTATTGCTAGACACATAGTTGAAACAGGTCATAAGATTGATGTTGACACGGTTTTTGTGGTGTTGTAAGAAAGTGTAAAAGGGTGTATACTAAGGTTTATCGAAGCCTTAGCCATGTGAAAATTCAAACATCCTTTATGTATTCAAAAACGTTTGTTCTCATCTTAAACCTATCCTGGTAATATTAGCTTATTATCCAGCGTGATGAGGCTTCAAGTTGTTTTTCATATTATTTTCTTTATTATCTTTGTCTCCAATCACCCGCAATTTCTAGTCTAGTTGACCCTTTATTTTTCTATACAAATGTTCTTAACAAGTATATATGTGATCAGATTGTTCGGAATGCATTGCGCTAATATATCGCATAGTTTTGATAGTCTTCTTCCTCTTCTTATTTCACTATCCAAATTTATGAAAGGGACTGATTGCTTCGAACATCATGACCATTTTTCTTACTTATAAGGGACTTGATGTTCAGAATTGCCATCTGAAAGATAAATCACACTGCACGGCAGTTTATCAGTTACGCGTAATCTAACAAAAGAGAATCGAATGGAAATCATCTAATTTTCCACGTAAACTGTTATACATAGAATCACTATGAAGATAGCTAGTTGTTTGTAACAGTTCACAAGTAAACAGTGTTGGCCGTTTAAGCACAACCAGGTTTAATGAGGATGCGGATATTGTGTTTACAAAGCTGTTCTGAAACGTTCATGGAGGAAATTCACTGACTAACGTTATTATTCTTAGTAATAATAATAATAATAATACCACTACTGCTGCTTAAAGTACTACTGCTATTTCAGTAGTCGATATTTCTTAGAATCTCTGCTCTGAGGTGGTCGACTTCCTGCAATTTATTATTCATGAGAATTCCATGCAATTTACATTCATCCCACAATTAATAAGCAAACGCATTGCAGGGACCACATACAAGTTCGTAAACTATGCTTGTATTCTCATGTGTCTTATGATGGATGACTGAATGTAAAACTTGATCATCCAACTGTATGCGGCTAGATGGTGAGGAGTTTTAAACGGAAACCTTGATGGCGTTGACGGTGAATGTACACTTTACAGAAGTGGGAACCGTGCCACTTTGTATTGTTCACGGCTAACAATACTCAATTACGATCAACTAATTTTTTTATTCAAGTGAGTTATCGACTCGGTTAAACCTATCTGAATGTCAGGACTCCCTACTTCCTCACTACAGTAACACGTACGATACTCCATACACTATCGACCGGTAAAACAATCAAAAACACAAATGTGAATAGTTAGAAAGTTTATTTTCAATTTTCATATGAATATGTACAAAAAATGACTAGAAAGCAATGCATTTGTTTTATTATTTCTCATAATTTTTGCAATCGTTACTGTTATTATTATTATTATTGTTATTGACATTGAAATTGCTTTCTTAGTCTGAAAAATGGACATGACGTCCAGGCTTCTTCATTGATTGGCCTGGATGTTTTAAACACGTTCGAAGTTTGTATGGCTTCATATTATTCTGTGACAAGTTTGTGCTCAATTGTGTGGATTTTTCACGTAAATCTGCATTTTTGTCTTTTGTTTGTTCACCGTAGATAGTAGGTTTCTCTCCAAAATAGTGATAATAGTAATAATTACAACAATTGTAGTAAGAATAATAGTGGAAATGGTAGCAATAATAGTAGTAGTCGTATTGGTAGTATTGGTAGCAGTAGTAGTAGTAGTTGCACCAGTAATAATGATAATAACAAAAATTAAGACAGATTTGTTTGGGATCGGCACGACTGTCCATCGATATGTTTATTTATTTGTGAGCGTTGTACAGTCAAACCGCTCAGCAAATGCGTTTTTACAAACTGATTATCATCGCTCTAGACTGATATTATATAGACTTGACATATGCTTAGACTATTTCCATTCAAATTTTGAATAGAAAAAGTCGATCGAGTCACGTGACTGCAAATCAATAAAGAATGTACATTCTTTTGAACATACGTATGTTCGAAATTGATGTCATTTATGAAAACGATGATAAAAGTAAGGAGTAAAACGACGAAAAATGTTAGTCAGTTAGCCATTTACGTTAGTTATGAAGACTGATTTGGTGAGCATAATCTCATTCTGGAATAAGAATGAAAAACGTAAATTTGGATTAAGCAAATGGCCATGGCAGAGTAGAGGTGGACACTGTACAAACATCTTAGGATAAGAAGGATGATCAGGTTTGTTGATGCACTGCTTTTGGACTCGTCGGAATATGACTGACACTTTCACGAGAACTAAATTTAATATCAACTAGACGGGAATTCGCTCGACCTTGAGACTGCAGTATAGTCGTCCGTAATAAGAATAATAGTAGGTCAGATGACCTGTGTTAATCCTTGGTGTATGCTTCCCAGTGAAGATTCAGTTTTCCTGGTATACTTCTTCATATCCGTGTATGTTTTCTAATTTTGGTTCGAGTGTAGATTGTTGTTGTTGTTGTTGTTACGTTGACCAAGGCACCTCTGGATGCTGTGAGAGTACTTTTGTGGAGTGTTTCTCAACTTGGTGGCATCGGCCACACTGCTTTGACAGTTTCTGTCGAGATGAGAAAGTCCATCTATCAGTACAGTTATCCGCGCGATTTTGAACAAGTGAGTGAAGGCTATTGACCATCTACAGGAATTATAATTCAGAGTAAGTAAGACTAGACGATCATACGAAAAGCAATTGGTTAGGGATTCTAGATATATTCCGAAACGGTTATTCTCGTATATAGAAAGGCGAAATCAGAGAAGTAATGGAATTCCATCACTTTTGATACAAGAAAATCCGTTAATCTTGGCAGAAAATGATACCGAAAATGCTGGAGCTTTATCGGAATATTTTAGTAGAGTGTTTTCTATCACTAATGAAATACGACCAACGATTCATTATGATCGTAACGGCTCGCGGATGGATCCTGTGGTCATTGAGAAAGGTACTGTTTTAAGGCTACTTCAGCATATCAAACCTGATAAGTCCAGTGGTCGTGATAATATTCATCCTAGGATTATGAAAGCCATATCAGATGTAATTGCTGAACCTTTAGCGATACTGTTTGGCATGTCTCTAAAGCAGTCCAGACTGCCCAGAGACTGGAAAGACGCTATAATAAGTCCGGTGTATAAGGCTGGGAGTAGGGATTTAGTTAGTAACTATAGAGCCGTTAGCTTAACTAGTGCAGTTGTAAAACTGATGGAAAAAATCATTCGGATATCTGTTATAAACTATGTTGAAAGGCATAATCTTTTCTCCAGGGAACAACATGGTTTTCGGAGAGGCCTATCGTGCTTGACAAATCTTCTCATTGCAAGAGAAGACTGGGCTGCTGCAAAAGATCAGAATATTCCTGTAGATGTGATCTTCATAGATCTAAGTAAGGCTTTCGATAAGGTCTCCCATTGTGGTCTTAAATTCAAACTGGAACGCTTCGGAATCCATTATACAGTCGTAGATTGGATAAGTAACTTTCTCCATGACAGGAGACAAAGGGTAAGGGTTAATGGGGCTCTTTCATCGTGGGTACCTGTAAAAAATGGAGTTCCCCAAGGCACAATCCTCGGTCCTCTTCTCTTTTTACTTTATGTAAATGAATTACCAACTGTAGCAAAATCATCCGTTCTACTATTCGCTGATGACATAAAAATTTGGAGACCCATACACAATATGTCGGATAGAATGGTATTACAGAATGATCTTAGCTCACTGGTGGCATGGTTAGACAGGTGGTCACTTGAAGTAAATCCTAATAAGAGTGTGGTGATGCAATTAAATAACAATGATGAATCGTATCACTATACAATACGTGGATTCGTACTACCCAAAGTAAGAAACTATAAAGATTTGGGAGTCATATTAAGTAGTGATCTGAAAACCACTAGTCACTGTAAGGCTGCTGCTGCGAAAGGCTATAGGGTATTATGGTCTGTTCGTAGGTCTTTTCAGTATTTAGATGATGAAATGTTTAGATTACTATACCCTATTTATGTGCGACCACATTTAGAATATGGGATTCAAGCAGCAAGTCCTTGTT